CGGCCTGGAGTTAACAGCCACTCAGGAAAAGACTGAAATCTGAAGGCTTCCATCAGCTCTATACATGCTGGCCCTGCCTCTGCTCTGGGGCGACTTGCCAAGAGCTGAGGGCCAGATACTGGGTACGACTTCTCCGGGAGGACTGTGCCCAGCTGCCAGGTAGTTCTTTGGAGCAGAAGTTTGAGTATCATGTCTCCATGATCATCATGGACTTCCAACATCCTTTTGCGTGGTTCAAAACAGTCTCTAGGCCACCCAGTGAGCCTAGAGCTCACTGCCACAGAAGGACCTAGGACATCTCGGTAATAGCAGTCTCATCCCAGACCTGAGTCCCTGAGAGAGCCTATGCAAGTGTAATCCGCAAGTTCAAAGGGGTCTCCCTCCTCGACCAATTAACACATCCCCTGCCCTGGGAGGCCTGGCACAGGCTTATCACCCGACCCAGTCCACACCCAACTCTTCCCAGACCTTCCCCATACATTCCCAGACCCTTCCAAGTGTTCTCAAAGGCAGAACCACCCTTCTCAGCTCCTGCAGGTCCTGGGCCTTACTCTGTTCCTGACCCTGGGGACCCTGGTGATCCTCATCTTCCCAGCCATGTTATTCAGCCATGTGGAGGGCTGGAGCTTTGGCGAAGGCTTCTACTTTGCCTTCATCACCCTCAGCACCATTGGCTTCGGGGACTACGCTGTCGGTGAGAATGAGATAATTAGGTACCCTGGTGGGTACTCACTAGAACCTGGGGTATGTGGAGGTACCAGGAGAGGCTGGTTATCTCTGGGACCCCTGTGGACTCTTGGTGGCATCCTCAGAAGTCTCTGCTTTTTCTGTCACTGGTCCTTCTTATGAGGACCAGGGAGAGAACACCCCATGGAATCTGGGGGTAGCTGTGCCCTCAGACACCAGTCATCACCTTCCCTGGCAGGCACAGACCTCAGCAAGCATTACATCACCATGTACCAGAGCCTGGCAGCTGTATGGCTCCTCCCAGGGCTGGCATGGCTGGCAGTGTGCTCAGCCTGGGGTTCCTGCTTCTGCACAGATGCCCCCGTCTCTGGCTGCTCATCAGAGGCCTGGACATCAGGGATGAAGGAGACCCTGACCCTGACCCCAGACCTCAGGAAATCCCCAAGTGTTCCAGCCACCCATCCTGCCTCACCACCCCCAATCCCACGTCACCCCCTGCCCTTCCTCTCCAACCCACACACTTCCCAGAAAGGGTGGTCAGTAATTCTCCAAAGAGAGAATGGAAACAGGTGTGCCTACACAGTAATTTAGGGGAGATGCAGAGACAAAAATCAGAGACTTACGTGAGTGAATATTTGCACGCTGGCCTAGGAGTCCCTTTCTTTCCCTGGTCTCCCAGAGAACCCAGAAAAACCTACATCATCGCCACCTCCACATACCAGCAGCAGTTCTTAGGCTGTGAGCAGAGACGGAGCTGGTTCTTGTGTTAGTTGCTACAGACACACTGGCACTCCACAAGACCCCACTTTGTGCCAGGGCTGCACCAGGTCTGGGGACAGTAACTGTCCTACCCTTGCTGGGTCTTCAGTCTGGAAGGACTGAGCCCCAGTGCCTCACCCCCAGAGCTGACTGGAACAAAACTGGAGAGAAGGAGAGTTCAGGGCGGAGACCGGGGGACCGGAGCTGGGCACGCACCCAGGGGCACAGCTGGTGCACACAGGAAACTGCCCTCAGGATTCTTGCAGCTGCAGGACTCTGAACTCAGAGGCTGCCTGTCAGCACTCTCCCGCTCTCCTGGGCCACAAGTGAAAAGGATTTTCCCCCAACAAGGCTTGGGATCTCTTCTGGGTGTCCTACCACTTTCCTGAAAATGGCCCATGGGGCATTCCTGGTCCTCACTATTCCTCTTGAGAAGCTGAAGGGGCAGCAGACCCCAGGAGCCTTACAGAATAAGTTTCCAGGGCCTAGGCTCCCATGGGAATACACTCTCCATTCGCACCTAGTCCTTCTGCCAGATTTCAGCACCGTGGGCCAGAAGGGAGGAGAGGCTGGCCCATCTGCCCCAACGTCCAGTATTAAAAGGATTAGGAGCTAGCTCTGCCTTGAATGTCCTCTCTCCCCAGCTGCAAGGAGGTTTCTAAGTGTCTGTGTGTTTGCAGCATTGGGGATGTCCAGGATGTTGAGGGGAGCCCCTGGGAAGAACCCACATCCGTGGAGAGATTCTCTACCCCACCCCGGACTTAACAGCCACTCAGGAAAAGACTGAAATCTGAAGGCCTCCATCAGGTCTATACATGCTGGCCCTGCCTCTGATCTGGGTGAATGGGAACTCAGAGACCACCTCCGGAGCAGCAAGGATCGCCTGGGATCACATGTTCTTGCCTCCCATACACACAGACAAAGCCTAGCTGGGGCCTTTTTCTTGGAGAGCACCTACTGTAGGGGAACCTAGTGTGGTGCTGACCGCAGGCATTTGGAGGAAGCCCCTGGTCTCACAACTTAGACAGGAGCCCTGTGACAATAGTTTCTCTTCCACTCTGGATTGCATGAGTCCTTCCCTCTGAAGGGAAGCACTGAGCGGGGCGGGTAGAGGTCCGGGTCCCTAGCCTGTGACTACCTGGAAGCCCTTCCTGTTCCGCTGATGTTGAAGTGGGCACCCCAACTCCCTGGCGAGTTATTTTTTGTCACTGGGATTGGATCCTTGAGGGTGGGCAGGGTTGCACTCCTCCTTGGCGGCGGGAAGCAGGCCACAGGCAAGCAGGCGTTTGCTTAGAGAAAAGCTCCTCCCGGCCTTTCCTGCCCTTTCCCGGTTCCTGTCTACCAGAGCGCTCCTGGGCTCTGGCCTCTCCACCATGTGCGGACCTCGATCTCCTAAGGCACCCTGTTGGGCCCGGGGCTGTCGGGTACCAGGCACAGGGCTCCTCTTGCTCACCTACCTGGCTTACTTGGTGCTGGGTACCGGTGTGTTCTGGGCACTGGAAGGTCCTGCGGCCCGGAACTCCAGCCGCATCTTCCAGCGCGACAAGTGGATGCTACTACAGAACTTCACGTGTCTGGACGGCCCATCGCTGGACCTGCTGATACGGGTTAGGGGACTAGTGGAGCCAGCCTGGGAAAGAAGGGGTGGGGTGGGGGTAGGGGGCGGGAGCTCACAGCAGGGATGAAGATGGTTATCCCTTAGAGAGGTGGAGCAGTCAGGCTTGGGAAAAACAGGGTTGTGAGGTTGGGGGTGGGTAACCGCGGGGATGGGCTGGACCCAGTGCAAAGCGGCTAGGTCTCCGGCTCTGTCTTTAAGGTAGTGAGAGGGCAGTACTAGCCCTGTAGGAAGACCCGTCCAGAACACAACCATAAGGAATACAGAGGTGCGCTTCCCTGGGTCACAGGCTGCAAGGCTGTCCGATGGGGTCATGATGGGGACAGGTAGCATTTGGTCTGGTCAGCCTTGTGTGGGGCTTACTGAGACAAAGGGCCAAGGATGAAAGGCCACACCTAGTCTTTCAAAGGACAGGGGAGGAGCAAATACCTTGGGGGGCGTGGCCAGACTCTAAGGAGGACTGTGACCTGGTGGGAGCTTGGGAACTTGGGAGAAAGGGCTCAGCCTGTGCCTGTGGGTAAAATGGGGCTCAAGTATGCTTGTCTGGGCCGGGCCCAGAGCAAAGGTAAGAGGGAGCTGAGAGTTACGGGACTTGGACTGGACCCAGGGCTAAGGTCACTTTACCTGAAACATTTGCACATTAAGAGCAGACACCCTCCCCACCTGCAATCCAGGCAGGGATGAAAAAGGGGCGGAGCAGGGGAGAGTGCAGAGGTCACTGAGTCAGAGGCTCCTCAGAGGATGAGGATGCTGCAGGGTCTGGAGGCAGGAAATGGCTCATGCTGGCAGGGCTTCCCCTGGAGAGCTCTTCCTGCCCCCCCCCTCCGTGGACCAAGGGGCTGGCAGCTGAGCTAATCAGCGTTTGCATTACTATTCTACTCCACATCCCTCTGTCAAGGGCAGGGACAGAGCGCTGAGACCCACAGGCCTCAGTGCAGAATCTTCACTCTCCATTACAGAGAGGGGCAGGACCTGTGTCCCCAAATCCTTAAACTGAAACCAAATCCCCTTTGGGAAGAGAAAATTGTCGGGCGGGGCAGAAGGAATGGCGAGTAGAGGTGGATCTGGAGCTAGCTAGGGGCTGTCTGGCCATCACCAGTAAACGCTCCCGTTGCAGCCTTTCCCTTGCCCAGCCCCTGTCACAAGTCTCACGAGCAGATACCTCCATCCCCATTAGGAGGTGAACCATGGCTCCACTTAGAGATGGAACAAGGCCCAGAGAGATTTAATATCGATGCAAGGCTGCCCAGCCAGGAGCGGAGGTTGTCAATCACCCGGAGGCTGCTTTTGTGTAGCCCTGTGTACCTGGACGCTTCTCAGATTCCCATGCTTTTATGTCCAGGGCACAGTATGAGCTGCCAGCCTCTGCTCCTGCTGCCCTGCCTTCTGAAAGCCTTCTCAGTGGGAAGACCCTCCGAGCAAGCCCAGCTGAAGTGACACTCCCCCACGAAGCCTTCTGCCTCTGCAGTGTGGTATCCCTAAGAAGACAGCAGCTGTTCACCACTGTTAGTGTTCCATTTTACAGATGAGGAAACTGAGGTGTGAAGAAACTGAGGACCTCCTACACAGGCTCCTTCGTACCCAAAACAGTCACAATGGCCCCATATCAGTGTTAACTCAGTTCTCCTGTTCCACTGAAGACTGAGGTCATGTCTGCCATCTGGAACATCTGCCTATTGCTTCCTTCAAGAGTAGGACTGAGCTAGACAGCAAATGAGTAGTTAAGCCTGTGAGAGAGCCTAGAACCCACCCTGACCTGGCTCTAGGATAAGGAGGAGAAGGGGTTGTCCCCATGATCTCTGCCTCTGTGGACCCCCTGGTTAGTAGAAGCAGTGATTCTTTGCCCCAAACAGACTTGGAATAAGGAGGGAGATATTGTGTGAGTTTTTCTGGGGACACATGAAAAAGCCTTTTCAAGCCAGATAGGGCACCAATGGTTGACCAAAGAAACAATCCCGCCCACTTCTAGCTGGGTGAACCAGTGAGTTATTGGGGTTACTAACAGGAATGTGGGTGACTCAAAGGCAGCCACATCACGGAAACGTCCACCCCAACAGGAGTGACACCTCACATCCCTAGAGCTCACTACACAACTTGTAGGCGGCTCTACTGAAGAGTCCCCCCTCCTCGGCAGTTGTTACTGTGAAGTTTAACTTGGGGGAGGGGCTTGTGGCTGCTGTAACTTTCTGAGCCTGTAAGTCATGGGAGCTTCTCTCCTCTCTTCAGGAGGAAGTGCATCACTTTGGGGAAACTGTCTACACAACATGAGGCCCTGTAAAAGTGTGGGTGTAGGTGTGGCTATAGACCTAGGTGTGGGCGTGCAGGGGACCAGTCTTCCCTCCCAAGATCCTGTTGATCACTGCAGCATCTCCCCCAGGGCATCATCCAAGCATACAAAGATGGGACCCACCTCCTGGACAATACCACCAGCATGGGGCGCTGGGAGTTTGTGGGCTCTTTCTTCTTTTCCGTATCCACCATCACCACCATCGGTAAGGGCAGAATGGGGACAAGCTGGTGGGTGTTGGGAGGTAGCCTCACCCTGAGGGGCCAGTGGTGGCATTCCAGAGAGTGTCACAGGGTGTCACCCCTGTAAAGCCGTCATATCAGCAAGCACACCCCCACCCTCCTGCTGCAGTATCTCATGCCTCAGGACCTGTGGACTTGGTTTCTGCATTTCATCAGATACCAGGGGAACTGCATGCATATTCCAGTTTGGGGACTGCTGCCCTGGAGGACTTTGGTCACCCAACCCAGCCCCATAGACCCTCCCAGCCCACCAGCACCCCTCAGTCCCTATCACTGTCCTCCAGACACATTTCCCCTCCAGAGCCTGGCTGAGGTGGAACCTGTCTTGAAAGCACCTGAAGCTGTTGTGTGCAAACAGTGTGGACAGAAAGCCCTGGATCCCAGGAAACATTTCTGGTCGGCTCTGGTACCCTCGTCCTCAGCATCACCTGCATGACCCAGGACTGTCCACCGGGTGGCAGGCTCACACCACTGAAGGCTCAGGCTCCATCTTCCCTCTTCCCTGACCAGCATCCTTTTGAGCCTGGCCTTATCTTCCCAGCTCCCCACCCCCACCCCCCACACCCCACACACACCTCCAGAACACCACCTCTACTCGGGCCATGACTGATCTCAGCACTTGAGAGGGGGAGGCAAGAGGATCAGGAGCTCAAGGTTACATAAAAAGTTTGAGGCCAGCCTGGGCAACACAAAACCTTGTTTTAACACAAACAAAATAAAACAGGAGTGGAAAGGGGGCAGAAGATCCAAAGAAAGAGACTTCTGAGGTTCTCAGGCCAGATGCCCCCATGGCAATCTTCCATCATGAGTCATCCCACTCAGCCGGGTACCCACTCAAAGCTCAGGGGTTCACCTTCCCACCTGCGG